TGGTTTAGTCAAGTGGAAACAACTGACTTTTATGACTTCATTGACTATTAAAGTCATGATAGTTAAAAAATCATCTCGGCATGGTTAAACATTGCGAAATGCACAAAATGAAATTTTTGTAAGAAAAACTCAGAGTTAAACACTTAGCTAGAAAATGAAACGACATACAAATCTATGTTTTATATAAAAATCGATCAATTTTAAACAAGTTCTCAGAATATCAGTTCATTTCTTAGCAAATCTAATGACGTCGAACGAAAACTTAAAAACACTATTCATTAAGAATTTTCATCTCTTTTTTTCAAAAATCACAGTTTGAGTCAGAACAAAAGCAAAATAAAGTCAAAATCATCGAGATATTCGTCATCAATATCAAATTCTGCATCAAGGGACGAATATCTTACTAGAATCTAAGAAAATCTTTTTGTAAGAAAATCAAACTCGAAATTTTTTAAATTAAATACTTCAGTTTGTTCAGAATTCGATGGAAGGTCCGAAGAGATATATATATTTATGAATATAAAGAACATAATATGTTTAATAGTTTAATATCATCGCAATTTTCAGATACTAATGAAATTTCATGATACAGTATTTCTACAAAATGTGAAAATGAAGCAAAACAATGCTTAATATGGGTGTGCTTAATAGAGCTCGTAGATATGTGTTTGAGGAATTCTTTTTTTGCCATTTTTACTGCAGATTTCGACCATCATAATATTAAGAAAACTTAGCAACTCTTTACGAAGCGCTTCAGAATTTATTGTTCCGTAATTTAATTGAGATTTCACTATTCATTCTCGTTTTTCCTTATTTAAATGTCGATTGAACGACATAAGAATGCGACTGATGGTTCAATGTTTCAAATTATAAATTTATTTTTGATTCCATTAAAATGTGTTGTTATAGTTCATCCTTGTAGCTTTTTTTTACACTTAATGTAGGATTTAATCAATTTTCCAAAGAGAAAAAAGTTTGTTTGCTTTTCAACTGATTCTTATCGAATTTCATATATGACCGCCTACTTTTGATAATTTCACTTTAGACTCGTGATATTCCATATAACTTTGGTATTATTTATCTTATAATTTTGATAAATTTTGAAGATAGGTCATGAGTACAATTTATACCTTTGCTAAAACATTCAAGGCTTTCACATATATATATATGTCATTTTTCTTTGATAACGTATGCTTATCAAAGACCCTTCCCTTCCCATTGTTTATCTTCCTATTATTATTAATGTTCTTATGTCTAACGATATAAGTTGAATAATCTTGCTAAATATTTTTATATACATATGTATTTTGATGGAAAATATTGTAATAGCAACAAATTGAAAATAAATAAAAGCCATATATTATGAAACATTTTAAGTTTCTATGCATCTTCATTGCAAAATTCAAAGTTAAGAAAAGAATTGAAGACTCTTGGTAATCTATATCACCATCTTTTGATAACATATTAAAATATACATCTTCTACACCGTTTTTTTTCGCTTGAATGTTTCTTTTGTGAAATAATTTCATTAAATCATTACATGCACGATATCATACCTTAAGCATTGAACTATAACGCTGCTAGACATGTTTCTTTTTGTAGCAAAAAAAAACGTAACAACGACACAACGAGAACATTTGCTTTTTTCAACAAAAAAAAAGTCAAAAAAACATCATTTCTATTCAAAGTCTTGCAATGATTGTAATTGGTTTCTTTATTTGACAACATATCTATTCATACATTTCATATATCACTACTATTAAAATTTGAAAATCGTTTTAATTAATTAGAGTAGAGAAAAATAATTTGAAAGACCTCAAACATTTCATTTTGTCATTTAACGTACTTAAATATAATATGATCAATTCTTTTTTAAATAATTATAATATTCATAATTAGTTATGTTTGTCAGAGAAGTAATTATCAGGCTCTGTAATAGGCATATACAAGATGATGTACATGAATAGTTGATATAAATAAAAAAAAGAACAAATGTCGAACTCTATGATACAAACAAACGTCAAGTAATAATTTATATATTCATTACTTATTATTTATGATCACTAACAGACAAAAGAATATGGATTCTGTTAAGTTTCTTCTTTCGTCACAATCTATTTCTGCATTATTGATTGCACATATCTGTCCAACGAGTATTGTCTGTGATAATAACCAAATAATGTTGACATACTTTTCTTTTAACATAGAAAAAGAGAATTATCTAGATGATGAAGCATATGAACTATTTCAAATAAAATATCAAATTTCAATATGAATAAAACAAAAAAAAACTAATGAATTATTTAAATTGTTTTTCAGACATATTACTATTGCATTGTATTTTATTAAAACTTTTTCAAATCATATCAAATGATTGAAATTGAAAAGAATGCATTCTTCTGACTGTACAATTAAATTAAAATAAGATAAAATCTTTTCAATGTATCTTTAAATCTTCTTATGCTATGATTATATAAATCAATTTTCAAACTAAATTTACCAAAATACCTAATCATTACTTAGGCATATTGGTTTTTTACATTTTTTATATTTAGTTTTTCATCAAGGTTTTGATTATTTAATTATAAAACTTTGTCTCATGGATATTTTCTATCTAAGAATGATGCATTTATTTTTAGTAAAAAAAAAAAAATAAAAAAAATCTTTATCAAAAGACGTAGAATATGGTGTTCCTTTTTTTCGGTATTATCCTACACATATATGAATTTTATTAAAAATTTTCTTTTCATTCTAAACGCTTAGAAACATAATTTTGTGAAAAATGAATCTTTCATAACTAGCCTAAGTGATAGTCATAGAAAACTGCAATTGTTATTATTTTACATAGATATATACGTCGTTATCATTTACATCTACACATTCACTAAGGTCATCATGTATTAGAATTACAATGTTGACACAAAACTGTAAGACTAGCTTGTGTTAGTTATCTTACAAAAAATATTCTATTCAAGATGATCTATTACAATATCATTACATGAAATTAAATTGTTGGGGATGAGTATTTCAAAAATAAATCATTAAAAAATTTGATGACATTGAAATTAACAGTATGTTCTTGATTATATAATCAACTGTAATTTTTATGATCCTTATTATCCTGATAGACTTGAAAAGCATTTACTTTTTCCAGTTAAGTGAAAGTCATGAAAAGAACAAAAATGATTCTACTAATCTACCACGGACAAAATTAACGCAACACATATTTTTGATAAATATTTTCATTAATGGTCAACCACGAAAAATACAAGTTTTTTAGAAATTTTTTTCGTATGTAGAATTTTGTAGAACTCGTTTCGCTGATCATTTTGGTAAAAAAAATATTCAAATTTACTCAATAAACAGTGATATTATAGTCAAAATACTCAAAACTTAGGACTGTTCGTGACCACTGTCGAGTAGGAGGTGATATTTTTGAGTATTCTGAGCCAAGGTTCGTTATTTATCGAGTAAATTTGAATATTTGTTTTTTATCAAAATGATCAGCGAAACGAGCTCTACAAAGTTCTATAGGCGAACAAAATTTCTGAAAAACTTATATTTTTCGTCGTCGACCGTCAATGAAAATATCTATCAAAAATACATGTTGCGTTAATTTTTTCCGTGGTAGAATTATTCCAACGAACATGACATTTATAGAAAAACAATGATTCAACATGTATTAGTCGATATTAATCAATGATCTATCCAATTCTAATACATTACCATTAATAGAATGATCAGTTCATATCGTAATGTTTACTCAACACAAAAATCTTTCATTAGTCATAAAATCTGATGTTGATAAAAAAACAATTTGTGAATAGAAAACTAAATATTTACACTGTTAGTTCTTCTAAATATGAATGAATAACATATAAAATTGCGGTACTCTATAGCACTCTTTATATGCTATAAAAAAATTCACAATAAAATATGCATAAACAAATAATTATAGATAACTATGTACAATTTGTTTAGTTTTTTTTTACACAAATATTTGAAGTTGTTATTCTCTCAAGTTACTTCTTAGACAAAATGATACATTTACTGTTTAGTCTTTTATTTATAAATTGATGTTAAACTTTGTATTAAATAAAATTTAATATTTTTTCAATACATTTACTGATGAAAACAAGAAAATATAAATAAAAATATCGATGTATACGTATTCTAGATTAATTTATATAAGAAATGATTGAAGAAAAAAACAGAAAAAAGAAAAAGATTATTTATTCTGATGATAAAATTATTTTGTTCACTTAGGCTGAGTGCCATTTGAACAGATATACATCAAGAGAAAAAAAGAAGAAGAAGAAAAAGACAAGAAAAGAAAAAGGAATACAATATTTAAATTGACAAAAGAAAACAGATCACCTAGAAGTATACATTTAAGATCATCACTGTTTAGGTGTGCCGTTTTTTTTTTCGAAGTATGCATATACAAAATGAATAGAAAGAAAAAAAACGATAAGAATCGAAGAACAACATCATCATTGTTGTGGCACATCGAAGCAAAAAAAATATATAGATAATTCCAAAAGAAGAACAAGAAAAAAAAAACAACAGTCAAACATACAATTACATACACCGGTATTCACACATTTAGATACATTGGAGAGAGAGAGAAAAAAAAAACAGTGAGAAGAAGAACGACATACATCTATATCCATATATATATATATATATTTATAGATATAAACATTCATTATTTGATGATTGAGTAGAATGATGAGCAAAAGAAAAAGAAGAAGTAGAATAGTTCTTGTCGGCGAATGACAAAAGAAGGAAAGTAAATAGATGAGTATCAAAGAGCGTCATACGCCCGTCGAAATTGATAAAGTTCATGCGGTTTTTATTTGTTATTTAGAATAATTTGTTGTTGTTGTTGTTGTTCTTCTTCTTCTTCTTGTTATTTAATTTTTTATGCTTGAGCAAACTTGTCAGAAATGACGGGAAAAAAAGATGATTGAATTCAAGTGTTCATTGTTTTTTTTTCTCTAAGTAGTATTAGGCCAAACAGTATGATCAAAACGAGCATGTTTGAGTGAAGGTTCAGGACATGAAGATGAATTAACATAATCAAAAGATCGTTGTATTGATGATGATGGTGATGGATGTTGTTGTAAAGATATTGAAGTTTTTGATAATGATGAATTAGGACTGGAATTTGTATCCATTGTTGATGAACGACTATTTCCAGTACCGACTGAAATAGGTGGTGAAAATGGTTCGTTTTTCAGACGATGATGATGTTGTTGTTGTTGTTGTTGAGATAAATGAAGAAGTTGTTGTTGTTGATGATGATGTTGTGGTTGATGATATAAATGTGGGCTGGCACGCGCTGAATTATTATTATTTGTTGTTGATTGAGGACCACATAGAGCTTGTTGCATATCATAATTCATCATACTGGAATAATAAATGATATTAATAGAAAAATATTCACAAATTGAATCAATAAACTTCTTTTTTTTTCTTCACACAGTTGATTAAACATCTTTTTAATCTTTGATATGCATGACTTACCCTAATGGTAATGTGTTCATTTGTAGAGCAGCAGCTAACGATGAATGTGATGATGCATGCCATGGAGGAAAATTATTATTTTCACCGACACCGACATTTCCACCACCAGTAGCTGTATTAAGTGAAAAATCAGCTAAAATAATATAGAAAAAATTATTCGTTTTATTTTATTTTTATTTTTTTTATTAATTTGAATATAAAATTTAAAAAATAAAATAAAACTTACGATTAAGACGATTTGTCATTCCTCCACCTGCTCCGGTTAAATCATTATGATGAGATGTCATATGAGATGAAGTTGATGTTAATGTTGTTCCACTATTAGTATTTATTGAAAATTTATTATTTAAATTTGATGTTGATTGTTGTTTCGATGCTACATTTGGACTTGTACGTGATTCACTCGGAGAACTTTGTGGTGAATATGTTGATTGAGGTGATGGTGATGATGAAGCATCAATACCAGGTGTTCCATGTACTATAATTAATCAAACATATAAGATATTATTATTTTCTTTCGAAAAAATAAATAAGACAATAAACCTGATAGAAAATTTTGTTTTGGTGGAGTTTGTTGAGTAATACCGTTCATCATTGATAAAGATGGACGAAAATTACTGGCTTGATGAGACTATAATAAATTTAAAAACAAAAAAAAACAGATGAAAATATTTTTTTTTTATTCATATGTTTACCTGATTATGATTATTTGTACGTTTTTTTGAATCATTTATGGTTATATCTAAATGATGTTGATGATGTGTTTGATGATGAGATGGAAGTGGATGATTACTATCCATTTCAGTAGCACTTTCATCTTCCATATCATTATCACTATCATTCTGATCAAGATGTTTTGATTCTTTTTTATTAAGAATCTATATTCAAAGCAAAATATGACATAAATAAATAAATCAAAAAAAAAAAACAACAACAAATATCATATCGATTTTGTTTTTACCTGTACAATATCATTATTTGTTCGACTTTCATGTGGTTCATTGTATTCGGTATATTTGAGCAATATTTTGTCCATATCCGTTGATGCATATTGAAAAAGTTTATTGGACGAATTAAAAATAATGAGCGCTATTTCACAGTCGCATAGGACACTTAATTCATAAGCTTTTTTCATAAGACCAAATTTTCGTTTTGTAAACGTTACTTGACGATTACGTTCATCAGTTATTTTTGATATTTGAATTTTTTTTCGTCCCATTCTGGAAGATAAATCTATACGATCAATCAAATATAATCAAAATATATAAAATGAAAATGTATAGTATTGTGTGTTTTTATACATCTTCACTTAGATTTACATCGATTTCCTGCAAGTAAGATTTAAATATGCTAGTCTTGTAACCTTCATCGACTTATGTAAAAGCTGATAGTTAGTTTTCATTCGAATCATGTACTAACTATAGTAGAATAAGCATAATGTCGATTTTATCGAAAAATATGCCTTTGATATTCGTCTATTTTATTGTTTGTGAATGTTATTTTTGCTTTTGACAATTTGAGTTTACCATTGAATAAAGTATTAAAAAACTGTCTCTATCAAAATAATTGTCTGAACTATATCTCTTGAGTTTATGGTTGGGCAACATTTGTAAAAATTGACATAATTGTGTGTTTTTTGTTAAAAGTAGACTTGTTAGAAAATTTACACGTTACTTCAAAAGCTCTAAAAATAATGTTTATCACAACACACTATATCAAAGGACACTAAAGATTTCTGAATTTGAAATGTTTAGGCTCGAATAAACTGAGAACTCGGAATAAAACCACATTGAACAAAGAGTTTCATCAAGATTACACTCGACAATCTCGTAGTTTATTTTTATCTGAGTAAATTTCAATGACTACTATCAGTGTTTAAAATAGCAGACTTCCTTTCTTAAGATTATGCGATATCGAACTCTTCCAAGTTTTTATCTTAAATCAAGAGGCACTGATTATAGTTTAACGTACTTGATTACACAAAACTAGAGGTTTATAAATTACTATGTACTACTTTTAATATTACATAAAAAAAAGGATGTGTGTTGTTTCTAGTTAATTTTTAAAATATAAAAAAATCTAGGAAAAATGATACATAGTTTGTTATAACTTTGGGAACTTAGGTTTTCATTATGTCGACATAACTTAACGCACAACTGAGTAATTAAGCTAAGATAAATGAATCAAAATGTTGTACCCTTATGGTACGGTTATCAGATACATCTGTTTGTCAGTTTTCTTTCTCATAGATAATATCTTTCGTTCGTCCATTTGTTGTCATCAGTATTTAACATAGAATTTTTTTCGTGACTAACTTGTTTTCAAATTTAAAACCATGAATTTCATTCAACTGTGTTCTACTACGAAACAGTATGTCATATTTTAGGTTTTTATGCGGTCTCCCAAGAAAATGCCTTCATAATTGACAAATCATGATAAATTTACACACGACAATCATAAAACTATTATCTTACTAACATTATACTAAACGTCAAAGTACTATATACTTTTCTTCTATGAAAAACAAGCGATATAAAATGCACGATCTAACAAAATTCTCTAAATTCTTCTGCTCATTTAAGCTTCACAAAATAGTCAGTTACGAAAACAAATGATGTACTGAAGACTAGTTGTCATTACAATGCAAAGGCACGTTCGAAAACTTTATAAAAGAGAAGTATGGCTAGTGAATGGAAAATATTCACATGTTAAATATGTTACACAGCAGAAAAATGCTAGTAGCGAAGCAAGAAGTTTTTTAAAGATTTATCTAGTAAATAATTAAATCTGATTTTTTCCACAAGTGTTTTACGATCACTTTCTACTATTCGAAAAAGAATGCGTATAATTTTTTGTATAGTTCATATCAGAGAGATGGCAGAAAAAAAAGAATTAAATTACTCTAAAGAAAACTCTTAAAACTTATTTATCATTTTCTATAATTTTTTTCAATATTTTAAAACTTAACTATAAACAACAGATATCCTTTTTTATGCGGTATATGTGTCAGCTTTATTTTGATTTTAATATGTGAAAGGCTCACTGTTAACGTATAAATCTTCTGACAAATCTATTTGAAACAAAAAAGGCACAATCATGTCAGTTTTTACAAATGTTTCTCAACAATGAGCTCAAGAGATATAACTCAGACAATTATTTTTATAAAAGACAGTTTTTTTTTCTACTCTATCCAATGGTAAATCAAACTTTTCAAAGAAAAAATAATGTTCACAAAAAATAAAACAAACCGATATCAAAGGCGTATTTTTCGATAAAATCGACATTTGAGCTTATTCTACTATAGTTAATACATGATTCGAATGAAAACTAAATATCAATTCTTATAAAAATCGACGAGGATTACAAGACTAGTATTTTGTAAATCTTGCCAGCAGAAAGTCGATGTAAATCCGGCAGGAGCAACCTAGATATAGTCTATTATAAAATGAATTGAATGAGCGCGTAAAAGAGGTCATCTGACATAAGAGATGATATGAGATACGAGATGAGAATCACGTACTTTTTTTTCTCAGACAATCATCACAATATGGAATCTATGTTTAAATATAGATAGTATGCCTACAATAAGAACGTAAAAAGCTCCAGATGATGAGACAACTTATATACATTAAAAGTAATATTGGGATGACCTTTTTTTTAGATTAAAAAACACAAGAATTTGTTTTTTCATATGTTCATAACTTATGTTTAAGCTCTTTTTTCTTTTAGTTTTATTTAACTGACATAAAATAAAACTTAATCGTGCGCACATGCTCATTTTCGAACAAAACCTGAGATACATCAAACAAATATTCAGTTATTCTCCTCACAATTATATATATACATAAATGTTACTCGTGCATAGTTCCTTTTATCTTCGTCGCTTATATAGATTCCTTATAACTTAAAAGATATTAAATTACAAAATGCTTCGTTGAACAAATGTTCTCATCAGTCTAGTGTGAGTCGAAAGTCATATTCAACATAAACTAATAATAATAAATTCTAATAAATATACTTATTTAGTTGATTTATCTTTAGTAAAATGTTCAGATAAAATAAACGAATTTGCGCATCTCTTAAATGATATTATACGTAAATAAATGACGTAAATTATATTTACCTGACAGAACGGAAATATATTTATTCTTGTTATTTTAGTCTCAATCGATAACGATGATAATATGAAAATAGTAATGACAAGCAACCGGTGTGCGTTGTTTGTTTGTCTAACTAGCACACGATGATGACGCGTTGGTGTACGTGCGTTTTTTTCTGTATGCGCTTGTCCTGAGATTTTCTTCTTTTTTTGCGCTTTTAAACGAAGAGACAAGGACGCAGCCGTGGCAGCATAAAGTAGACCAAGTTGGTCGCGACTTTTTTTTGATATATATATATATATATATATATATAATATATATTTTTCGAAAAAAGAAAAACGAGAAACGTTTGTTGCTGATGCTAAAACGACGCCGGCGACTGTTATTGTTGCTTTCGTTCTTTTAATGCATTACTACGATGCCCAGATTCTTTCTCGTTTCAACCCCTCCCCTCCTCTCGTTCTCCTTCCATCGACTCGGCTTCCTTTTCTTTTCTTTTCTTTTCTTTTCTTTATTCTCTCTTTTTTTCTTTTCCCCTCCCTTTCTTTCATTCTTTTACTTTCTCCTTGAGTAATGTCTAATTTGCGTGTATCGTGCATCTAACATTGGTTTGTGGTGATGGTAGATAAAGAGATGTATTGGAACAAGCTGCTGCATATTTAGTCTGACGTGTCTTCTATCTTTTCTTAAAAGAATAAAGACACGTGGTCTTGTTTCTTTTCCTTTTTTTTTGACTCGTCACTTTAACCAGTACTCTAATGTCATTCTAAGATAATCCACAGAGCAAAGAAGAAACACGAATTGAAGCAAACAAAAAAGAAGCGAGAAGAAAAGGAAAAAAAAAGAAAGGAAAAAAGCACATAGAACACAGCATCATCTTATATAGCTAAGACTTCTGCATTTTTCCAAATCTGGTTCGCGTACGGGCACGCGCTCGAGTAAAAGACAAGGATACAACTCATTTTTGCGCTACTTGTTTCTTATTACAATAGTGATGATGGGGCCTTCTTTCACTTGTATATACAAATAGCTTTTCTTAATGAAAAGAGTGAATATAAAGAGCATTATAGTAAAAAGTAGAACAGGTAGAAGAAGTAGAAAAAAATTGTAGACATGTTTCACCTTGATGACGGTGTGATAAAAGATTATTTAAAAAGGAAACATGGAGGGTTGATGCTTGAGGATAGATATAAAAAAAAAAGAAAAAAAAAAGGAAATGAGAAGAAAACCAAATGTATGGTGTTTGTCTATGCTTTCTACGATCTGAAAAATGACAGAGTCTGGATAATAATTCGTGTAGGAGTTTGTAAATAGAATATTCACATATATAAAAATATCATTCAAATTAAGACATCCCATTAATTGATTGAAGTAAGAATTATGTAGGCGTTGAATATCATATATATATTTGAAAAAGGAAAAGAAAAATGAACAAAAGTCATCATGTGCATAATGTACCACAAAATTAAAAGTATATTTTACCCTATTTTCAACATTTTTTTGTCTACGTTAAAATTCAATGATATGAAACCTTCTATGCTATTATTAACATAAAATTTATTTACGTACTCTTCAAAAAAAAAAAAAAAAAAAAAAAAAAAATTTTGGTTTCGAACAAATGAAAGAAGAAAGTAAATTGAAAAAAAAGGAAGAAGAAAAAACACACACACACATACATGCACACAAATGGCAAGAATAGAGATTTTTGTTGAGGACTTTATCAATTAAAAAATAAAAAAAAAAAATAAAAAGTGAAATAGTATTCAGCAGGCATAGAGATTACAATATATAAACTATTGCTACTAGTCAAGAGATGAGCATTATAAATGATAAAGAGACTCATGAAATAATGACTAGATCATATAATTATGAAGATCTTGTTCTAGACTCCACCACCGCTTCGTTCAACACCTGTATTACTCTTGATTTTAGCAATACGAGCAGCTTTAACAAAATGACTTGTCGATACAGCACCGGTATTTATTGCGCTCATTAACTATAAAGAAGAGAAAACAAATTTGTACAACAAAAAATATGTATGTAGTCTTTTTCTTTTTTTGTTTACCTGAAGAAATTCTTCAGTTTCAATAATACCATTCTGATTTTGATCAACTTCATGCATTAAAATTCGAAGTTCTTCTTCGGATATATCATTATCCAATACCTTATTCAATAAGAAAAACAAAAAAAAAAAACAACAAGGAAATTTCAAATAAAAGTTTACATATAAATAAATGTTAGTTTTTTCATAATAAATAATTATTTTTCATCATATCAAATTCGACACTTACTAAACTCGATATATTCAGACGCTAAAAATAAATACAGATATGCAAGTTCAAATATTTAAGTACAAAGTCGTTGTTTGGTGTTTTTTTTTTCTTTTTTTGTAAATATTTTTGACACAAAATTTATGAAATAATTGAATCAAAAAAAAAAAGAAAACTGAAACTTACTTGTAGATGTCGTTTTAAATCACTAAGTGTTAGAAAACCTTTATTTTCAACATCCATTTGTCGAAAATGTTTCATATAATAACTCATTTCTTCACGTGTAAAATTAATTGGTACATTTCGACGCATATCACGTTTCAAATTAAGGCCCATTTCACTTAGAAGAAATGTTTTCGCGCGATCCATTTCTTCCTTTTTGTTTTTTTTTTTAAATAAAAACAAATTAACAAAACTAAAAATATCTCTCTAATTTTTATGCATACTTTTTGCTTTTTTTCGTTCCAATTTAATTCTTTAGCCATAATTTGTATAATACGAGGAAGAGCTTCATCAGCAGCAATTACATTCAGAAATGAAAGTCTTGTACGTCTTGCAAGTATATCAACAGCTGTACGAGCATATTCTTTTATAGCATAATGAACTTCAGCTTCTATATAAGGAAATTCTTCATGTAAACGTTTACCAACAACTGGCCAACGTTTTCCAGTTAATGCTGATAAATCAGCTACTTTATTTGCTTGATCACCATATGTATTTGAAAGATGTATAGCAACCTATTTTATTCCATATATATATATATATAAGCAAATCCAATGAGATAAAAATAAATATTTTATTCTATGTACCTCAGTTTCAATACCATAATCTTGAACAAGACGTATATAAGATGTTGGTGACCATTTTTCACCACCGTTAAGTATTAAACCTTTTGTAATACAAGCATTTTTTGGTTGAAGTTTAGCTGATTGTATACAACGATCAACTGTTTCTTCGGCCATTTGTCGATAGGTTGTCCATTTTCCTCCTCGAAAAAAAAATTATGAAATTACACTGATTATCATAAACTAATGTCGTCATCAGAATAAAACACGTGTAGATGTAAACTCAATGACACGATATGTGTAATAGTTGACGACCTGTAGTTTTTAATAATTGAAAAAGGAAAAGAACTCCGGACATCTTTTTTTATCTGATACTATATATAATGCACATATTATTTTTCAATTCATCATCATTGTCAAACCTTCAAAAAAATGCATAAGAATTTTGATTTTGGCATAAATTTTAGATTTATAGTTCGAAGTACGATTTAACCAATTATCTTCTCATACTTGAATGTCGACTGAACAAAATCGCATATCTATTCATCCAAATTATATCGAATTTTGTCGATTCTTAGAAAGTTTTCTAACTTTTTATCAAAACTTTGTTGAACTGGAACACAACTTTCATATATCTAAAAGACATTCGAAGTTTTTCTCATTGAATATCTGAAAACAATAGGTGACTATCTGTTATTGTTATCGAGTCATTGAGTTTATATTCATCCCTGTTTAATTTTGGTTTAGACTTTCGAATGATTTTGTCAAAGAACAACATAAACAAACAAAACTATGATGATAATATTTACCTCCAATTGTAACTAAACCTGAATCACTAACATGAATAATATGATTTCTTGCAATTGATTGTGTATCTTTTTTATTTGGATTAAGAACAAGTGGTCGAATACCAGACCATGCTGCTGATATGTCACCACGACGTACTTGTATATCAGATGAAAGATAATTTTTTATTTCACCTATTATAAAATCAACATCTTCAGCTAATGGTGATGGATAATCAGTTACTTCACATGGTGTATCCGTTGTACCTTTGAAAATCAAATATTACGAATACTAGAAAGAAAAAAATATATTTCATTATTCCAACCAGCCATTGTATGTTTTTGCCAAGGTAGAAAAAAGATAACACGTCCATCAGATGTATTTGGATCAAGAAGACCCATATTATGCGGACTATAATAATCAGGTAATACAATATGAACACCAGCTGATGGTTGACAAATTTTTGGAACGGATGGATCATCTAATTGTCGAATTACATCTGTATATGGTCCTGTTGCATTAACAACACATTTAGCACGTATTGAAAATTCTTTATCTAAAATTGCATGCAATTATTATATTAAAATTCATTGTTCTTTTCTTTTTTTCTTCTTCAACATACTTCGATATCTATCTAAACATTTAACACCACAAATAACTTTTTTTGTTTCTGTTTGTCCGTCTTTATTGTTAACTTGAATATATTCATGTATAAAATCAGTAACAGCACAATGATTAGCAACATTTGCTCCCATACGTGCTGCTGTAAATGCAAGTGCTATATTCATACGTGCATCATTATGTTGTCCATCATAATATACAATACCACCAACAAGTTTTTCTTTTTTTAACATTGGAAATAATTCTAAAGCTTTAGTTTTTGATATTATATAGGACCATCGAAGTAATTGTCGACCTGATACAAAATCATAGGCTTTTATACCAGCATAATAATATGGTAAAAGATACCATCTAAATAAAAATTACGATTTTACGAAATTTTTTTTGTCTTTTCTTCTTTACTTATAAACAGGTAACATAATTGCTAATGGATATGATAAATGTGGTGCAATTTTAAGAAGATTACCACGCTCAGATAAAGCTTCTTTTACCATATGATACTAGATTTTGAAAATGTAATCAATTTTTAAGTAGATAATTGAAAAGAAACTCTGTGATCTAATTACTTGTTCCCGATCGAGTTGCAATATGGCTTTTTGTAAATATCGTACACCACCATGAATTAATTTTGTTGATCGTGATGATGTACCACTACTAAAATCATATTTTTCTACTAAAGCTACCTTGAGACCTATTGAAAATAAAAGAGAAAAAAACGTCTAAAGTTAATTTTTAAAAAAATGAAATAAAAATTACCGCGACTTGCTGCATCAACAGCTACTCCACAACCTGTAGCACCACCACCAACAACTACAATATCATATTCAGCTTCTTTTGACATTATATCAATTTGAGCTTCGCGTGATGGACAGTCATCTAACCATACGGCTGGTTTATGTAATGGATAAGTTGATGCATTTAATTTGTTTTTCTATATAACAATAGTTTTCAAAGATCATTTATCGAAAAAGAAAACAAAAATAAAATCAATTTACCTCGAGCATATATTGACTGAGAAAACCTGTACCTAAAGCCGATGTACATAGAAGAAGACCGTGTTGAATGAAACGGCGGCTAAAACTACGAGACATGTCTAAAGTACGTATAATGCACAAGAAGTATTATGATTCTTTGCTTTACAATGTAAAGTAAAAAAATACGAAAATATTCTAAGGGCATACTCAACCACAAAATTATTATATTTCAGCAATAGAATAAGCATTCAATGTATATGTTTTAAGCAATAAATTATGATTGGTTTAGTACCTAGTAGACAAATAGGTGTCAGAACAATCGATGTATTATTAGGTAATGAGACGGTATATATATACAAACAAACCTTGTGATAGTGGCGCAGCCAGGAGATGATGGTAGGGGTGAAACTCCTTAAGAAATCTTTGAGCCCTCTTGTGACAGCACAGTATGTTGTCACCTGTATTGTCATCGTCTTATTTCTCCTAACTTCTGTATTCTTCTTAATGTGTTCTCTCTTTCTCTTTCTCACTTGTTTTATCGTTTTTCGCAATCGTTATTCTGATGTACCTGTTTATTTTCTTGATGCCGAAGTCAGAAATGAATATAGTGAATTATAGTTAAATATGTATGAGCCTATGAATTGTCCAATCGTATTTTGGTCTGACTATTATAGTTGCACAATATACACCTTTACATAATATTAATTTCCTTTTCTCTATAAACAAATCATCAAGAAAATATTTATTAATTTTATTGATATTGATTATATGTCAGCAAGCTTGTCGCAATTCTAAGCATCTAACTCAACCTTCCCTCCATCTTAAGATTAAAATTAATTTTCATTAATATTGAAAGAGTATATTCATTGTCAATTTTCGACGTAGACTCACTCTCCATTTCCTCTTAGAAGCATTTTCTGACTCTGCTACTAGTTCATGATTGACAAAAGATGTATATTAGATATACAACAATATGATTTGTAATTGACAAATAAATATTGACTCGAAATTCTTTTGAAAAAGTATCTCATGTCAATAAAAATAATTTCTTTTTTTATAAACAGTCAAAAACAATCTGTTTCTCATTTCTCCGTATTTCTTGAGGCAAAAGAGAACATTATTTGATCAAAAAAACATGATATAGACAAAGCTTTAACTTTTAGATTAAAAAAACAGCTACAATATTGTAAAGAATTGTTATTATATCTTTATGAGCAATTCATATGTTAAAATAAATGTGGTTTGACCTTCATTCGACAAACATCGATCATAAACAAGCTCTAATCACTTATATAATAGTGATTGACGTATATAGTGCTTGATTATTTAAATATAAAACACCTGAACGAAAAAGAAAATTAGTATTGCTTGCACTTCTGTATATATTTAACATAAATAAAACCTATCATGCAAATATATTCACATATACTAAGAATTGTAGGTAATAAGATTGATAATGTACACAATATTTTAAACGAAATTTAATCAATAATTCAGCATACTTTTGGTATTGAATATTTTTACAATTCAATGCTTATGAATATAAGAAAAACAGTTTTCTATGTCTCAACAATTGATCGACGCAAAATATCATCAAAACTCATTGAATATTCCATAGAAAATTATTTTAGAAGCATATCTAAATAAATAGTATATGCGACCATCGATCATTTTCAAACACAAAAAATATTAAGATGACAAATTGACAATTGATATTTATTGAATACATTAAAAACTAGGTTATTATTCAAGAAATCATTTTAGGAACCAATAGAATTGATTTACTAAATATAAATATGCATGATTTGTCATTGTCTTGTTATAGTATTTATAATTCGGCTTGTCCACATAACGCGACACTTCCCTGATCAAGTCTTTGAAAATTTTTTTTCGATATGAACCAATCTAAATACTTTATTAGATGCAGCTTTTTACACTGATTACGTATTTGACATTTTTCTTTAAAACAAATTGGATTTTGGTATTGAAAAACGGGTTTAAAACTTTTCAAAAATCATATTTTGAATTTTCTAACCAAGAAATTTTCTCAAAAATTTTCGAGTGACATATCATTCGATGCAGAATTTAATTCTCTACAAACTGACCTGTTTGATTTTGATTTTCGTCGTTAAGAAAAACATGTTTGTTCTTGTATATTTTCCAAAGTACTGTACAGTTAATAACTGCCTCCTTTGACGTAGCGATTTGATTCATGCGTAGAATAGTCATATGTATGGCGATGGTCAATATTTATGAAAATCAATTATATCTAAGCACGTTAAGTGTCTTAAAATTGATCGACAAAAAACTGTGTCACAGGGTTCTGTTTGTTATTTGCATTTTTTTATCTAAGCAAAAATAATTTAAAAGCTCTTTCGAAACTCTAGAAAACTGGCTCCAGAAGTGTTTCATTGGGAGAAATAATTTTACATGATGCTGGATTTTTATTAGCATCTCTCAAGAGAAAGAGTCTGTTCATATTACAGCGTTACGTGACCAAAACCGTTTCTGGAAGCTTGAGGGTTTAACCAAAAAAAATGTCGTTTTTATGGCATAGATAGAGCACGATAAGCTGTGTCGAATGGCGTTTGAACGAATTTTCTAGCTCCAACAGTTTCCGAGATAATTGAAAAAAGTGTGTCAAATATGTCACAGTAATACGTTTAGAGAAAAGGAACTGTTATGACATTAATAATTCAAATAAAAGGCAAACATGTGTGATCTTCAATGGAAATTTTCACTGTGAAAACTTTCTATTTTGAAAAATGAATATAGTTCGTTATCTCAAAATAAATATCTGGTTTTTAAACGGTAAACTTCGACGAAAAATGCCATAAAAAAAAATTATATTTTATTCTTCAAAAAAAGCAAATTATTTCAAACTATAAAACATCAATAGTTTTCTTCGAATGATTAAAATACAAATAAAAACTTAAGGTTGATCTCGTTGAATTTCGACAAGAACGTACATATTCTGATCAATAAAAATATGAATATAAATCATTGAAAAATATTTATGATTAAACAGAGAAAAAATAATAACATAATGATTTATTTCTTTGTGTTTTGTTTCTGTTTTCATGAAACAACAATTATATTCTGATTGAAGACTGTGTACACACGTTCTTTTTGTTTTTTGTTTTCTGTTCATATAAATGAATTGATTAAACTTAGTACCTTTTGACATAATAGAGAAAAAATAAATATTATTGATGATATTTGAACAATTGAAGCTTGACTACTCTTTTCAATAATTGTAATATAATTTTCAGTTTTTCTTGAACATTCATCTTTCCAAAATTGTACACTTGATGGAATAGTTAATTTTTTAATTTCACTTCGATTAACTTGTAAATGCATAATTGATGCTGTAGATATATTACTGACCGGTGGCCATTCATCTTTAAATTTAGAACTTATTGGTCGACCATATTTAATAAAATTTGACCATTGTTCTATTAATTGTTTACTAAACTGAATTTGTTCATTAGTATACATATGTGTTCGATTACGATTAGTTGTTGTATTTGATAAATATCGAATATATTTTATTAATGGTATTATAGTTTGATTAAAATTATTTAGTTCATATAATAATGGTGTACCCCATGTATATTCAAGTTCAGCAAAATGACCAACTAAATCATGTTTATGTAAATAAGCATTACATAATGTTGGATGTTCTTGTGCTGTTCGATGTGAATATTGATAAATATATGTACGATTTGAATATTTGACACGTTCTGTTATAAAACGATAATAATCATTATTAAATAAAATATCACTTATTAAACGAGAATAATTATAAAATAGTGAACAATAACAATCATATGATTGAGAACAATTCATTGGAGGATTATTGATATGATATCTATTAATGAATAAAAACACACAAAAAAACAAAAATTGAAATATTTAAGTTAAAAATTATTATTAAATTGACTTACAATTCTAAAGCTTGATGATGTAAACAAGTCTTATCTGGTTGCATTGCTGCAAGAAATTTTAAAGATATTTCAGTAAAATTTACATTATGAAGTGTTACAGGTTCTTGATTATTTTGTTCCATAAGAATAGGTACTATTGCAACATAAGCACCTAATATTGAAAAAAATAAAAATAAAAAAGAGCAATTGAAAATATTCAATTTAAAATTATTTACCTTCATCATCTGTTAATCCTGTCAGTATATCAATATTTGCTAATGTATCATTTTGTTCATATACTTCTCGAAATTGACTCATAAATTGTCCAGTAAGAACAACATTGGTATGATTAGCACTTGTATATGAATGATGTTCATGTTCAGCAATTGAATCAAAATCACGTTCTTGTAAACATTTTAATTTTTCATCAAATGTTGTCATACTTCCACATCCATTATCATTAGCAACCATATCAAATTTTTCTATTGCATCTCGTCCTTTTAAATGTGACCATATATGAAATGGACTACCACTTTGTAATATTAATCGACGTATTCGTCCATTATTAAATGGTGATATTGCTAAAAAATAAGCGTGTGGTGCACCAGCTGAATGACCACCGACTGTAATACGTTGTATATCACCACCTAATGCATCACCATTCTTATATATCCAATCAAGAACTAATGCTTGATCATATAAACCAAGATTACCTTCTAAACGATCATCACCTGATGATAGAAAACCAAAAAGGTTTAGACGAAAATTAAATGTTATAACAATAATATCGCCTACAGCAGCAAATACAGTTCCATCAAATACATTGCCTGTACCAACTTGACCAGAACCACCATGAATCCACATAAATAAAGCTTTTTTTCTTTTATTATTTGGAGTCACCGGAATAAAAGCATTTAAAAACAGACATTGTTCCGCAGGAATTGATTTAACAGAAAAAATACCATAACTAACCGAACAATACGGTGCTAAAGGATATGTTCCTGTATTTCCTAAACATGCACCTGCTGTTGGTTTACATAAAGGTCCAAATGAAGTTGCTTTAATAATTTGATCATTTTCTCGTACAATAGGTTTTGCTCGATCAAATCTTTTATTAACTCGACCATATTCAATTCCAAGATATTGATGAACAATAACATTACCATAATCCACTGTTTGACCAACATAGAT